GCAAGGTACTTTACACATTGTAGAATGTGAATAATGTTTGTTTAATGAATATAAAATGTGTTTTTAGAATCATTCAGTTTGGGTTTCATAAAATGGTGGGAAAGCGTCCCTCATCTCATAGGATGGAGTAAAAAATTGACAGATATAAGAATTAATGAGGGAGAAAGAGTGTTTGTATGTGGAGAGAGTGTTGAATAGATACTAAACCAAATTTAGATTCTAATTGAGAAAGTTTTTAAGGTTGCTTCTGGGTCTTTTCTGTACCTATGCACTTCAATTTAAAAAGTTACAAATAACGAATACTGAATTTCTGCATGTCAATAGGCATTTTACCGGGTGAAGCCATTTTTCTCAGAAGATAAAATACTTAAAAATTGTCTTGTATAATAATCAGAGATATTATGCATCCGTAAATGGTTGACAAGCCATTCAGAGCAACGCTAATTCTCTGAATTGGAAAAGAGGAAAAAGGAAACGCTATAGCAATGAGCACCACCTAGTGGCTACTCAGAAGATGTGACAATTTAGCCAACCTACTTCATTAGGAAAGGTTGAGCTTGCTAACAGTTGTAACTGTGCTGGGCTCTCAGCACACAGACGTTTGATTTCCAGTGGGAACCCATTTTCCAGATCCAGAAAAATTGAGTCCAGATAACTAACGACAAGTAATCACAGATTTGAGTTAGAAGTAAGGCCATATCTTGGACTTAACAGTGTGGAATGGGGAAATGTGAAGTAATAATGTTTCCTACTTTGCAGTTTCTCCCCTCTGAAAAAGTAGAATGTTAGTGCCCAATTTGTGATCATTCCCCTTCCAGATGAGGAAGTGGGAGAAAATATGGCCCAAGATCTGAAAAGGAAAATTCTTGAAGGGAATTGCTCATAAAAGGCTGACAAATTCTACTTTAAAAATATTTGATGTAATTATGGACTTACAGAAAATTTGCAAGAAAAACACAAATAATTCCTGATACAATGCATATGTCTCACTCAGATTTCCCACATATGAACATGTTACCATACTTGCTTCTCCTTTCTCGTTCTCTCTCTTTCCCCCACCCTACACACACACACACACACACACACACACCTGTTTGAGGGTAAATTATAGACATAATACCCTTAAAATTTTTTTTTTTAATTTAGAGACAGAGAGAGAAACAGGAGAAGGAAAGAGAAAGAGACAGCTAACTCTCAGGCTGAGTGAGAGAATCCAGAAAGATGGAATCCAGGAGAGGAAAGCAGCTTCTACACTGAGTGGAAGGGAATAGAGAAAGATGGAGTTTAGGAGGGGAAGACAGGCTTCCACGAGCGTGTGGAAGGGGACCCCAGTGGGGAAATCCAGGAGAGAGAAAGATGGCTTCCATGAGAGTGTTCGTGGAAGGGGACCCAAACATGGAGTCCCAATACCCATTTGTTTCTAAATACTTTAATATGTATTTTCTAAAAACAAGGATATTCTCTTATCAAAGTCATAAAATTATCAGCAATCCAGTACCATCATCTAATGAACAGATCTTATCATATTTTCTCCAATTATTCCACTAACAGCCTTTATAGCAAAAGAAAAAAAGTGTGGTCCAGGATTAGCTTTCATTTTTTTTTTTTTTTACTTTAGAATATTTACATCAAGTCAAATTTCTTTAGTCTCATTTAACCTGGAACAATTCTTTTTTTTTTTTTTTTTGAGACAGAGTCTCACTTTGTCACCCAGTGGTGTGATCCTGGCTCATTGCAACCTCTGCCTCCTGTGCTCAAGTGATCCTCCTGCCTCGGCCTCCCGAGGAACTACAACTGGAACTACAGGCATGCAACACCATGCCCAGTTAATTTTTGTATTATTATTATTATTATGTGTAGAGATGGGGTTTGGCTATATTGCCCAGGCTGCTCTTGAACTCCTGAGCTCAAGTGATCTGCCCACCTCTGTCACCCATAGTGCTAGAATTACAGGTGTGAGCTATGGCACCCGGCCAAACCTAGAACAATTCCTTAGTTTTTCTTTGCCTTTTATTACCTGGCCGAAAACCCAAAATAAATAATAAGTAGCAAAATAAATAATAAGTTATAACCCACAGGAAAAAACCCACCAAGAATCTATGTGTGTGTGTGTGTGTGTGTGTGTGTGTCTGTGTGTGTGTGTGTGTGAGTGTGTGTGTATCATTCATGAATACATGAATTAGGAATAAGGAAAAGCTCTTCCTGAAGAGAACATTAACTAATAAATGCAGAAGAAATTGTGGAATTAAAAACAATCATCATTTGACAATATTAGTAATAATCAGGCAAAAATCATCAAGGGATGCTAAAACTAGCATTGATGCTAAGTGAAAGTGAAAGATTGATGAGTAACAGAACATGTACATAGTTTGAATGGGTCTCCCACAAAAATACATATTAATTACAAAAAGAAAAACAGTAATTTTATAAGAAACTGGCAGACACCACCTTAACAAAAGATCGAAATTAACATCACCAGTAATGAGATGAACAGACAATATGTACCTCCTGATATCATGCACCGAGAAAGACACAGTATCCTTTCTATGGTATTCCTCCCAAAAATGCATAACCTGAGTTTGAAAATGAGGAAACATTAGACTAACTTAAATTGAGGGACAATCTATAAAATAAATGGCTTATACTTTTTGAATCCTGCTTTGTAAACAGAAACTTAGAGCTCCCTACAGGCCTAGAGGCACATGGGACTGGATGTATATGTTAGGATGTGTGAGGGAGATTAAGTTCTTCAGGGTAAAGGCCAGTTTTTTTTTTGTTTGTTTGTTTTTTAACTTCTACCCAATGTGTGCAAAGGGAGGACCACAGGGTGATTGCCCCTAGGTCTTTTTTAATCTGGGAACACTGAGTCCCTCTCTCAAGAGATGACTGTGCCCATCAGATTGCACTAGTCGTACTAGGGCCGGAGGTGCCGTACCTACCTGCCACTCCCCTGGCTACAGTAACTGACACCAGGGGCCATGAGACCAGGTCTCTATTGTAAGGTGTTTGGCCAAGGCCTTGAACTCCAGACGGAGTACTCTAGAATTTGGGGGTACTTTCCAAAAGGCATCACTACCTTTTGAAAGAGGACAAAAGGAATTACTACCCAGTGAAGAAGGCAGAAATATCTTGGCTCTAGGGAGTAAAAACTGGGAAGCTAAGCTGGTTCAGGAAAAGAAAAGTGTATTACTGAGTGGAGTTCAGTTTTTCTGAGGTGAGTTGGAAGAAGAGGAGGAGACATTGTAGCTACAACCCTTCCCTAATGCATTTCCTGGCTTCCTCATCCCACCATTAGGCTCCCAACCAAGTCTAGGGGTTGGGTCCAGATGGGGGATGAGCTCCCATCTTGGTAGCATCTCTGGCTCCAGAGCAATGGGCTTTCCTGTCTCCTCTGGGGGAACGGTGAGAAGGACATAGCCTCTTGGGTTGTTTTCTAGTGACCTATGGAATGACGAGCTCCAGTGCTTATTACTACACCAAAGTGATGTCTGAGCTCTTCTTACATACTGCATCAGACACTGGAGTCTCCTTTCAGGCCATCAGCAGCATGGCTGACTTCTGGGATGTGAGTATAAGATCTTTTCTGTCCCTCCCTCTCTTACTCAATTGCCTGAAGCCACAGGTCAGACAATGAATCAGACCTTGGACTCAGAATCAGATCAGTCAGGGTTCAGACTGAGTTAAAGGGTCAGGCTGAATCAATGGGTTAGGCTAGAGTTCAGGTGGAGGTGGGTAAGAGATCAATATGGTGATCAGAGAATTAAACCAGGAATTAGACTAATATAGTGAGTCAGAGGTAAGGCTGAACTTCAAACCAATTTTCAATAAAGAGTAGGGTCACTTCAGGTCAGACTCTGGTCAGAATCCATGGAGGAGTTTTTAATAGCAGGCCAGGTCTGGGCATGGTAGCTCACACCTATAATCCCAGTATTTTGGGAGGCCAAGGCGGGCAGATCACCTGAGGTCTGGAGTTCAAGACCAGCCTGACCAACATGGAGAAACCCTATCTCTACTAAAAATACAAAATTAGCTGGGTGTGGTGGCCCATGCCTGTAATTCCAGTTACTCAGGAGGCTGAGGCAGGAGAATCGCTTGAACCTGGGAGGCAGAGGTTGCAGTGAGCTGAGATCGCGCCACTGCACTCCAGCCTGGGCAACACAAGCAAAACTCCAGGCCAGGTGCAGTGGCTCACACTTGTAATCCCAGCACTTTGGGAGGCCAAGGTGGGCAAATCACCTGAGGTCAGGAGTTCAAGACTAGCCTGGGCAACACGGTGAAACCCCATCTCTACTAAAAACACAAAAATATAAAAATTAGCCAGGCGTAGTGATGCACACCTGAAGTCCCAGCTACTCAGGAGGCTGAGGCACAATAATCACCTGGGAGACACAGGTTGCATTGAGCTGAAATTGTGCCACTGCATTCCAGCCTGGGTGACAGAGTGAGACTGTCCTCAAAATATTAAAAAAATAATAATTTTTTTAAAAGCAGACTGGAGACAAGCTGGGGAGTCAGAGGATGAGGGCAAAGGTCATCCTAAGGGTAGGGGGCCAGGAGGAGGCTGGGTCAGGTTCGAGCCAGCTTGTGGTTCAGTTTGCCCAGGGCCCACTACTGGACAGTTTATATTGGACCAAATGGTACAACAACCAGAGCTTGGGCCATGGCTCCCACTCCTTCATCTACTATGAGAACCTGCTGCTGGGGGTTCCGCGGCTGCGGCAGCTGAAGGTCCGCAATGACTCCTGTGTGGTGCATGAGGACTTCCGGGAGGACATTCTGAGCTGCTATGATGTCTACTCTCCAGACAAAGAAGAACAACTCCCCTTCGGGCCCCTCAATGGCACAGCGTGAGTGAGCCTGTCCTACCAATATCACAGGGCTTGCCCCTCTAAAGTTGACAATGTTCCAATGTGTGGGAACCACTTCCGCTGAGGCTTAATGAGCCCTGAGAGCACTTTAGGGGACTTCAGGGGCCATCTCCCTGAGTCCCAGCTATGACTGTTTGGGGATCTTGGTCTGTGTCACTCAGGAACAGAGGAGGTAGGTTAGCAAACACAACCGTAGCCTCCAGACTTGTTCCCACACAAGGTCATAGTCACACCTGTCCTACTTTGCATGTAGTCCTTCCAGAGAAAGCTTCCTTTCCTGCCTAGAAGTTGGTTAGGGGTATAGAGAATGGGTGAAATTGAAGAGCTCAACCCTTGAGATTGATATGTGGAGCAGCAAGGGGTCAAGGATGGATGATGAATTAGGGAAGAAGGGGAAAAGGGTGGACAGGACAGGACAGAAAGGGGAGGAAATAATCACCCAGAGTAGAAGGTTTAGTGGATAGAATGGAGAAACATGAGCTGAAGGAGCCTGAGGTGCAATCACAGAGCTGGAAGGACTTTTTAATTCTGGTCCAGGTGCTTCCCTCAGGGGGATTATTCAGGTTGGCCCAAAAGTGGGGTTTAGCTTTGTCATCCAAATTGTTGAGTGACATAGTGAAAAATCAGATTCACATCTGAGTTTCAGTTCTGTCATTTATAGCTGGATTATCTCAGAAATTTCTTTCACAGTTTCCTCTTCTGCAAAACGTGGATAATATTCACCCTCTCTTCTCAAATGGTTGTTAGTATCAAACAGAATAGTAGACAATACATTTGGAAATCAGGTCAGTCAGAGATCAGAGTGAGTCAAAGAGTCAGGCTGAGTTAATGGGCTACACACATACACCCCCCCAACACACACACACACACAATATGTAAGCCTGTAAAGCCCAGACAATGATAAAGCATTGTCATTGCCGTGGGAGATGAACTTTTGGGCTGGCTCAGCCGGCATTTTCTGTGGCAGGTGGACATACCACTCGCAGGAGGAGTTGGGGGGCTCCTCCCACTGGGGCAGGCTCACAAGCTACAGCGGAGGCGGCTACTACCTGGACCTTCCAGGATCCCGACAGGCCAGTGCAGAGGTTCTCCGGGATCTTCAGGAGGGGCTGTGGCTGGACAGGGGCACTCGGGTGGTGTTCATCGACTTCTCAGTCTACAATGCCAACATCAATCTTTTCTGTGTTCTGAGGTCAGCCCCCTTTCCCTACTTCATCCCTCTGTCCATGGCTCCTGGTTGCAATCTCTCGTGCATAAGACCCTTGCCTAAACTCATACCCTGTGATGGGGGTGGAGAGGAGAGGAAGTGGGAGGAGTTGTCCCAGCCCAGACTCCACTAGACATCTCCCTCTCACCCCATAGGCTGGTGGTGGAGTTTCCAGCTACAGGAGGTGCCATCCCATCCTGGCAAATCCGCACAGTCAAGCTGATCCGCTATGTCAGCAACTGGGACTTCTTTATTGTCGGCTGTGAGGTTGTCTTCTGTGTCTTCATCTTCTACTATGTGGTGGAAGAGATCCTGGAGCTCCACATTCACCGGCTTCACTACCTCAGAAGCATCTGGAACATCCTGGACCTGGTGGTCATCTTGGTGAGGGGCAGATATCTAGGACTTGGGGCATTCTGGGGGGAGGAGGAGGATCCACCCTGATAGGGCCTCCAAGTTCTTCCTTTTGGAGCCCTAAGCCCTCCTGACTTTCAGTCCAATCATCGTTTAGCAGCTCCCTAAGTGAAAGGGAGATATTCCCCTCTCTCAGCCCTTGGGAACCCTGTCTCTCACACCTTCTCTCCTCCTCACCTGTCATCTGAGCCCTGCTCTTCTTTTAAAAAAATGTACTGGCTGGGCACAGTGGCTCATGCCTGTAATCCCAGCACTTTGGGAGACCGAGACATGCAGATCACCTGAGGTTGGGAGTTCAAGACAAGCCTGACCAACATGGAGAAACCTGGTCACCACTAAAAATACATAATTAGCCGGGCATGGTCCTGCAGGCCTGTAATCCCAGTTACTTGGGAGGCTGAGGCAGGAGAATCGCTTGAACCTGGTAGGTGAAGGTTGAGGTGAGCCAAGATCTTGCCATTACACTCCAGCCAGGACAACAAGAGTGAAACTCCAACTCAAAAAAAAAAAGTACTGGGAACGATCCAAGATGGCTGATCGCTAACATCTCGGGATTGCAGCTCCCAGTGAAAGCTCAGAAAACGAGAGGATGCCACACTTTCAGACAAATTTTGGTCGCTCATGGAGCAGAAGATTCCCAGTGGAGGAGCTCCACAGGTCGCCAGCGCAACTCTTGTGGCTGGCGCAGCGGTTTCGCCGGCACCTCGGTGCGGCAGCTCCTGGTGCAGAGTAAAAGGGACTGGTTCCCCTTCTGACTGAAGTTTAGAGCTCCGGGAAGGCAGAGTCGCCTATTAGGGACTCAAGAAGGAAGCCAGACTGGAGATTCCCGGGCTGAAAAGCACCATCAGTCTTAACACTGCTGTTTTGGCCGGCGCAGTGGGTTGCTCATATTTCAGCCCTGGGAATTAACAACTTGGACGTCCACTCAGAGACCTAATTTGAAAGTTGGTAATTACAAAGACGACAGGTGGATAAATTTACAATGATGGGAAGAAACCAGCGTAAAAAGGTTGAGAATACGCAAAATCAGAACGCCCCTCCCTCTAAAGATTATCACAGTTCCTCATCAACAATGGAACAAGGCTTGACGGAGAACAAACGCATCCCAATGATAGAATCACTCTTCAAGGAATGGATAATAAGAAACTTCTGTGAGTTAAAAGAACATGTTGTAGCCCAACATAAACAAACTAGGAACTTTGAAAAAAGATTTGACGAAAACCTATTGAGAATAGACAACTTAGAGAGGAATATAAGTGAATTAATGGAACTGAAAAATACAATACAGGAACTCCGAGAAGTATGCACAGGTTTAAACACTCGAATTGTTCAAGCAGAAGAAAGGATAACAGAGGTCAAAATCCAACTTAATGAAAGAAAACAAGAAGACAAGATTAGAGATAAAAGGATAAAAAGGAATGAGCAAAGTCTCCAAGAAATGTGGGACTATGTGAAAAGACCAAATTTACATTTGATAGGTGTACCTGAATGCGACGGAGAGAATGAACCCAAGCTGGAAAATACCCTTCAGGATATTATTTAGGAAAATTTTCCTGAACTAGCAAAGCAGGTCAATATTCAACCCCAGGTAATACAGAGAACACCACAAAGATATTCCTCAAGAAGAGCATATTCCTCAAGAAGAGCAACATAATCGTTAGATTCACCAGGGTTGAAACGAAGGAGAAAATACGAAGGGCAGCCAGAGAGAAAGGTCAGGTTACCCACAAAGGCAAGCCTATCAGACTTACAGCAGATCTCTCAGCAGAAACTCTACAAGCCAAGAGAGAGTGGGGGCCAATATTCAACATCCTCCAAGAACAGAACCTTCAGCCCAGAATTTCATATCCAGCCAAACTAAGCTTCACAACTGAAGGAAAAATAAAATCTTTTATGAACAAGCAAGTACTCAGAGATTTTATTACCACCAGGCGTGCTTTACAAGAGCTTCTGAAAGAGGCATTACACACAGAAAGAAACAACCAGTATTAGCCTTTCTAAAAATATACCAAAAAGTAAAGAGCACCAACATAAAGAAGAATTTACATCAACGAATGGTTAAAACAGCCAGTTAACATCAAATGGCAGTAACCCTAAATTTAAATCGACGCAATCCCCCAATCAAAAGACACAGCCAAAACTCAACGGCATGTTACATCCAGACCTGTTTCACATGCAAGGATACACAAAGACTCAAAACAAAGGGATGGAGAAAAATTTACCAACCAAATGGAGAGCAAAAATAAATAAAAAGCAGGAGTTGCAATTCTCATATCTGATAAAATAGATTTTAAAGCAACAAAGATATAGTGGTAAAAGGATCAATGCAACAAGAAGAGCTAACGATCCTAACACCCAGATACATAGAGACTTAGACTCAATGAGACAGAAAATTAATAAGGATATCAAGGACTTGAACTCAGATCTGGAACAAGTAAACTTAATAAATATTTATAGAGCTCTCCACTTTAAATACACAAAATATACATTCTTGTCAATACCACATCACAACTACTCATAGGTTTAAATGAAACATTGATTGGCCATTATTAATATCCATTTTTTTTAGAATAAAGCAACATTTCCATTCTCTTTCCCTCTTTTTCTTCCTCTTTCTTCCTCTCCTTCACTCCTTTTTTTCTTTCCTTCTCTAAAAAAAAAAAAGTACTGTATTTCGTTCATCTCTTGTCTTTTTTTTGTCTTTATGACCTGTTCTGTGGAAAGATTTGCCTTTTATTGTCTCTTCAAATATTCTGCTCCTTCATCTTCATCTCCCTCTTATTAGCTGGAAGTGGTGGGAATAGAAGGAAATGACTGGTTCCAATTCCCTATGGCCCTTTACAATCTATATATTAATATTTACCACTAGCCCCAAAGCCTTCTCGCAGGCTTTAGAACACTTAAGATGCTCCCCAGTCTTCCTATCCAGTTCCATTTGAACTTGAGACAGTGAACGACTCAGCAGGGAAGGTTTTCCCACCTGTCTTACCTACCCTGGCTCTCCCTTGGGACTTTATCTTGGAACTTCCCTTGAGATCCCCTTGCCTTCTCTGACACCCCCATCACCCCTGTGTGACAGCTCTCCATCGTGGCTGTGGGCTTCCACATATTCCGAACGCTCGAGGTGAATCGGCTGATGGGAAAGCTCCTGCAGCAGCCAAACATGTATGCGGACTTTGAGTTCCTCGCCTTCTGGCAGACACAGTACAACAACATGAATGCTGTCAACCTCTTCTTCGCCTGGATCAAGGTACCTGGGACTCCCCGCACCCAACTTTGCTTCAAGGTGCTCATTCTCCCTTCTTTTTTTCCTTCTTCTTTTTTTTATTTGAGGAGTCTTTCCCAGGCTGGAGTGTGCAGTGGCATGATCTCAGCTAACTGCAACCTCCACCTCCTAGGTTCAAGTGATTCTCCTGCCTCAGTTTCCTGAGTAGCTGGGACTATAGGTGCTCAACACTATGCCCAGCTAATTTTTGTATATTTAGTAGAGATGGGGTTTTACCATGTTGGCCAGGCTGGTCTCAAACTCCTGACCTCAAGTGATCCTCCCACCTCAGCCTTTCAAAGTGCTGGGATAACAGGCATGAGCCACCGAACCTGTCTATTTTTTTAAGAGGAGGTCTCAATCACCATGGCTGGAGTACAGTGGCACGATCTCAGCTCACTGCAACTTCTGCCTCCCAGGTTCAAGCAATTCTCCTGCCTCAGCCTTCTGAGTAGCTGGGATCACAGGCATGAGCCACCACACCTGGCTAATCTTTGCTTTTTTAGTAGAGATGGGTTTTCACCATCTTGGCCAGGCTGGTCTGGAACTCCTGACTTCAAGCAATCCACCCACCTTGGCCTCCCAAAGTACTGGGATTACAGGAGTAAGCCACCGTGCCTGGCCATTTTTTTTTTTTTGAGACAAGTCTCACTCTGTTGCCCAGACTTGAGTGCAGTGATGTAATCTCAGCTCACTGCAACCTCCGCCTCTCAGGTTCAAGTGATTCTCATGCCTCAGCCTCCCAAGTAGCTGGAATTACAGGTGCTTGCCACCACACCTGGCTAATTTTTATATCATTCTCCCTTCTTCAATATATGTCTCATTTTCTTTGTCTGGCTTGGCAATTCCTGTGGCCTCCATAGGCCCTTGGTGTGGACTTTTCAATGCTTCTCCCTTTTCCTTCTTCATCCCTTGGTTCAACATGGCCCTTCCAGATATTCAAGTATATCAGCTTCAACAAAACCATGACCCAGCTCTCCTCCACGCTGGCCCGCTGTGCCAAGGACATCCTGGGCTTCGCCGTCATGTTCTTCATTGTTTTCTTCGCCTATGCCCAACTCGGCTACCTGCTTTTCGGGACCCAAGTGGAAAACTTTAGCACTTTCATCAAGTGCATGTGTGTGTCCTGACCCCTTCACTCCTCCCTGGCCCCCACCCTCCAGCTCCAAGGATGTATGTATCCTTGGAGAAGATGGGTACATGCATGTGGGTGTGTCTGCATTTAAAGCATCTGTGTGAGAGTCTCCAGAAGCCCTGCTGTGTGTGCTCAAATAATATATGTGCCCTGCCCCGTCTCCATCAGATTGGGGTGGACATGTGGCGAGGGGTCTGTCTGGTTGGTAAAGTGGGATGGGGGTGTTTATTAGGCTCTGGATGAATCCCAGACCTGGTCTCTCAGTTTTACTCAGTTCCGCATAATCCTTGGGGACTTTGACTACAATGCTATCGACAAGGCCAACCGCATCCTGGGCCCTGCCTACTTTGTCACCTATGTCTTCTTCGTCTTCTTCGTGCTCCTGGTGAGGTTCTTTCTGAGGGGTGGGGATGTAGAGAGACTGCAAGGTGGAGTTTTGGTCCCAGTATATCCCTCACTCAGGATTGTTAAGTTTCTCGAATCAAAGATGGAGAGTGGGTGGGGGCAGATGTCTGGATCTTCTGAGAGCTGGTTACTGTAGTATAGCCAGCATGGTCAGTTTGCAGGTTTGCAGAGTACAAGGGAACCTGCAGACTCCCTCAGTAAAATCAAACCCTCATTCTCCAAGGGTGGAAATGGGGAGAAAAGTGCCTCATAAGGAGCATTCACTGCATCTGGTAGCTTCTATGACTGTCCTCCAAGACTCCCCTTCCTCTGGGGATCTCATGCTGATTTCTACTGCCACTACTTGGTAGCTCTCTCTCCCTGCCAACCATGAAAAATCTGGATTTTATTTATTAATTTACTTATTTATTTTAGACAGGGTCTCACTCTGCCACCCAGGCTAGAGTGCAGTGGTGCAATCTCAGCTCACTGCAACCTCCACCTCACTGAGCTCAAACTATCCTCCTACCTCAGCTTCCTGAGTAGATAGGACCACTGGCATGGTCAGGAGCCACCACACCCAGCTAATTTTTGTATGTTTTGAAGAGATGGGGTTTTGCTATGTTGCCCAGGCTGATCTTGAACTCCTGGACTCAAGCAATCTGCCTGCCTCAGCCTCCCAAAGATTATAGGTGTAGGCCACAGTGCCCTGCTCTTGGATTTAATTCTCACTAACAAGGCCAGCAATTTTCTTTACTTGATCAATGGATAGGGATGCAGATATGGATTGGGGGATAGATGGTAAAGAGAACACAATTGGACTCTTGCCCTGAAAAGCTTCTAATTTCAATGATTGGTGGGCCCTTATACGAAGAAGGTCTGTAGCATATGTTAGGGTATCTCCGTGGTCAGAAAGGTTACTACAGCAACTGAGAGTGAGGACACCAGGTTGGTCAGGAAGCATGATCCATCTCTAATAGAACTGTGCTGAAAGGCTGGGCTCTGGGGACCCTGAGAAGCAGGGATTAGTGGGCTGCAGAGCTGGGACTGAGAGCACTGGCCCCTTTGGAACATGTGTCTTGGACATTAATGGGGTCAGTGGGCTCAATCCTTCCAGTGGGTCTGGGGGTGAGGATCCAGGTCCCTACTTTATTCTCCAGAATATGTTCCTGGCCATCATCAATGACACATATTCAGAGGTCAAGGAGGAGCTGGCTGGACAGAAGGATGAGCTACAACTTTCTGACCTCCTGAAACAGGTGACTGCTCAGTCTCCTTGAGCTACACATTTGCATCAGTGCCCCAATCTAAGGCTCTGTGTCCTGGTCTGTTCCTGACTGGTTGAGGTCGCCCGTGCCCTTCTGTGCCTTCAATTTATCCTTAGAAGCCTGGGTGGGGCTGGGGGCCAGGGATGAGTGAGCAGCCTGTGAGAACTTGTCTATTTCCTTTCTCTTTCAGGGCTACAACAAGACCCTACTAAGACTGCGTCTGAGGAAGGAGAGGGTTTCAGATGTGCAGAAGGTCCTGCAGGGTGGAGAGCAGGAAATCCAGTTTGAGGATTTCACCAACACCTTAAGGGAGTAAGCAGCCAGACACCCAACCTTCTCTAATACCAGTCTCTAAGTCTTCGACCCTCAACCATACTTCATTTGCCTATAAGCCTTTGGTCTTAGTTTAGGATCCTCTGATCTTGACTTGCAGGCTTCTGATCTTTGCCTGTAGGTCTTTGCTCCAGACCTTCAGAACTCTGCCCTTGGTTTAAAGGTCTCTGACTGTGGTCTACAACATCCTGGATCTTGTTGAACGACTCTTAGGAACCAATGTAATAATTCCCTAATCATTGAATGCACACCCTACTCCCACAAAACTCTGATTTTTGTTCTTTGCTTCCCCACAAACATTTATCTATTTCTTTAACCATTCACTCCTTGATTCCCAAACATATTAATACACATTGAACAAATACATTGTGAGCACCAGCTGCGGTGCTCACAATATTTGTTCAATGTGTATTAATATGTTTGTCTATTACTCAGTCTATTACCAGGCACTGAGTAATAGACAACATTTTTTTTGAGACAGAGTCTTGCTCTGTTGCCTAGACTAGAGTGAAGTGGTACAATCTCAGCTTCCCGCAACCTCAGCTTTCCTGAGTCAAGCGATTTTTATGCCTCAGCCTCCTGAGTAGCTGGAACTACAGTCATGTGCCACCACGCCCAGCTAATTTTTGTATTTTTAGTAGAGATGTGATTTTTCCATGTTGGCCAGGCTGGTCTCAAATTCCTGACCTCAAGTGATCTACCCGCCTTAGCCACCCAAAGTGCTGGGATCAGGAGACAATATAATTAAATGAGACAAAGTCTTTGTTTTCTAAGAGCTCATAGACTTGTAAGCAAGTAAACTGAATCACAGAATAAACTCAACAGAAGTGACTAGGAGTAGAGGGTGAGCAATTCTATTTCTAAGCTTAAAAGAAGGCTTCTTGGGAGAGGTAATGTCTAAATAGGGTATTGGAGGATGAATAGCTTATAAGTGGACAAGCAGAGGAAAGTTGTTCCAAGAAGAGATAAAAGCACATACAAAGGCACTGAGGTCTGAAACCAAGCAACATACACAGGAGGAATAAGTAGTTGAGCATTGCTAAGGTATTAAATAAAAGGGTGGGGTTGGGGGTGGTCATAGCAGGAGATGAGGCCAGAGAAGCAGGCAAGGGACACACTGGGAAAGTCCACACTGCCGCTCTGTCCAAAGAATAGGGTAGCAGAAAGGATTTCAAGAAGGGACATATTTAGACCTGCATATTAGAAAGGTTAATTACTCTAGTTGTGTTATGGAGGATGGATTTCAGGGTTAGGAAGTGAAGGGGAAGCTGGGGGATAGCAGGTTATTTAGAGGCAAATAGATTTTGCAATAATCCCTGTAGGAGGTCATGAGGCCATGAACTTACTAAGCAGGAGTCAGGAAAGGAAGAAGAAATAGAACCAAGTGTTTTCTTGGGAGTAAGATTGCTAGACTTTGGAGAAGCTTCTTTCCCAGAAAGCAGAACTTTTGCCAGAGTCAAGCAAAAGAGTGAGGAAGTCCATAATTGAGAGGTCACAGCCACAGCTGGGTAGAAATCATTTCATCATCCTGTTCTCCTCAGACTGGGACACGCAGAGCATGAAATCACTGAGCTCACAGCCACCTTCACCAAGTTTGACAGAGATGGGAATCGTATTCTGGATAAGAAGGAACAGGAACAAATGCGACAGGACCTGGAGGAAGAGAGGGTGAGTCGGGCTGATGGGTGGAGAGGCAGTGTAAGGAAACAGGTCACCCTCCCCTTCCCCCTTCCCCCAACACATCTAGAACACAAACCCAACCTGAAAACTCTCCCATAGACAGATGGTAAAGAACTCTCTAGAATAGTAGTTCTCAAACTGCTGCATGTTAGAATACTCTAGGGGGCCTTTAAAACAATCTTCATACTCAGGACACACACTCTAGACCAATTAAAGCACAGTCTCTGGTATGAGGCCAGACATCAGTACTTTTTAAAACTCCCTAGGTGATTCCAGTATATAGCCAAGGTTGAGAACCACGCTCTAAAACACAGGCTTAGGGAAAAATGACCCACTGCCTAAGAATCCCTGATCATTCCTTCAGAGGATTTGCCCTCTCCTGGGAATTTTCAAACTCGGGTTCCTGGCTGTCCCTACTCTGCCTGCTCTATCCCTATCCAGTGTAGACCAAAAAAAGTCAAAGACAGGGTGACAGCAGCCTAGAAAGTGCCAAGAACATTGGTAGTGTTCCTCCTCTGCTAAAATGAGTTGGCATCCAGTGAACACCTCATCCGTCAAGGCTTCAAGGATCTTGTGTTTTCTTTGAGAGGTGACTCTCCTCCAGAGGTTGGTTCAGTACCACTACCCTGACCCTGTTGTCTCCAGAGTCTGGGAGGGAAGGGGAATAGCAAGAACTAGAACCCGAGGCTTGGTTCTGAGATCCTGGTAGAGCCGGGTGATAGAACAGGAGCTGATGGCTTCCCAGAGTTATCCCCTCTCCTCTAACGTCTGACTTCCTGAGCAGGTGACCCTCAACACTGAGATTGAGAACCTGGGCCGATCCATCGTGAGCAGCCCACAAGGCGAGTCCAGCGCAGAGGCTGCCAGAGCAGGAGGCTGGATTTCAGAAGAAGAATTCTACATGTACGTGCAGCCAAGAAGGGCTGGCTCAAGGCTGACAACACTTCTATTATGATATCCTATCTTGTACTTTTTCCCACAACTTTCCAATTCTCTGTCCTACCCCAGGGAGAACGTCTGCTCCCCTTTAATTCTGTCTACAAGGCTGGGTCTTCTTTTCTTTGTTCCAGTCCAGAAACATGTCCTTCTGTGAACCCTGCCTCTTTAGATGCCCAGCCCCCAAACACAGATTTCTGCTCCATTCATCTCTCTCAAACCCTACACAGGCTCACAAGGAGAGTTCTGCAGCTGGAGACTGTCCTGGAAGGAGTTGTGTCCCAGGTTGATGCTGTAGGCTCCAAGTTGAAAATGCTGGAGAGGAAGGGGTGGCTGGCTCCCTCTCCAGGCGTGGTGAGTGGCCCTTCACCTGGTCCTCCTAGTTCCTCATCGGCTGAACTCTGCCGTCTTTTCCACTCAGTGGATGGGGCAAGAACATTTTTGAAAGCCCTATGTTTTTAGGCTCCTGGGGAAACAAGTTCACAGCTGTCAATTTATCAGCAGAGATGGGTCATGGAGATAAGGCCTGGAAGTTGCTTGCCCTGGCCTGAGGGCTGCCTTGGCCACTATGAGATGATCTGTGTCAGGTTGGTTGGGCTGCTATAATAAATTATTATAGACTGGGTGGCTTATAAGCAACAAAAGTGTGTTTCTCACAGTTTGGGAGGCTGGAAAGTCTAAGATCAAGGTGCTAATAGAATTGGTATCTGTTGAGGGCCCACTTCCTGATTCATAGACAGCTGTCTTCTTGCTGTGCCCTTTCATGGTAGAAGGGGTAAAGGAAGTCTATTTAATTTTTAATTTTTATTTATTTATTTATTTATTTTGAGACAGAGTTTTGCTCTTGTTGCCCAGGCTGGAGTGCAATGGCATGATCCCAGTTCACCGCAACCTCTGCCTCACAGATTCAAGCGATTCTCCTGCTTCACTTTCCCGAGTAGCTGTAATTATAGGCATGCACCACTAAGCCCAGCTAATTTTGTATTTTTAGTAGAGATGGGTTTTCTCCATGTTGGTCAGGCTAGTCTCAAACTGCCAACCTCAGGTGACCCACCTGCCTCGGCCTCCCAAAGTGCTGGGATTACAGGCGTGAGCCACCGTGCCCGATGGAAGTCTCTTTTATAAGGGCACTAAACCCATTCGTAAGGGCTACATACTCACTATCTAATCACCTCCCAAAGGCCCCACCTCCTAATACCATCATATTGGAGGTTACAATTTCAACAGATGAGTTTGGGAGAGACACAAATAGTCTATCGCAGTCTGAGTTCTCTGGAATCAGATATAGAGAAAAGAAAAGTGGTACACAAACTGTTTCTTCAAATGACTTGTCCCTTTCTTTTTCCAACAGGAGGAACAAGCCCTTTGGAAGCACCTGCAGCCAGCCCCAGCTGTGACTCCAGACCCCTGGGGAGTCCACTGTGGGCAGGAGAGTGGTGAGGGAGGAGGCCTAAAGCATCAGACAGTAGCCTCCTCTTCCTCTGCCTCCCCAGAGGTCCCCTCGCCACATCCGCTGCACTTCTAGGTCCCATCATGGCTGCTGCTGAGCCCCACCCTGCATCTGGCCTTTTGAGCCAATGTTTCTGTGTGTGGTGGGCATCATGCTTAGGCTTGTGACTCAGTGTTTCTATGTGACGCCACATAGCTCTGTGAAATAACATCTTCCACTGGTCCTTTTACTCCCTGTGCACTTAGCTCTGTGTGTTAAAAAAAAAAAAAAAAAAGTTAATAACAAACAGGATAAAGGGAGGGAGGGTAATGACACTCCCTAAGCACCTGGATAGCCATCGTTTGTGAAAAAAGGTAGAAAACAAGAAAGTAAGCAATGTCTAGATGTCTTCCTTCTTCCCAGTGAATCTTATCCTTTGTGCATCTCAAGACCTGCTGCTAGCACCCATGGGTTTCTTGTTTTCCCCTATAGACGTTCTCTATAAAAGAGAAGAAGAAGCCTTAGAGGAGAGGAGACTCCCATGTGGTAAGATTCCAGTGTTGCAGAGTAGTTACGAGTGAGGCACTCCCAGAGCAAAGTCTGTGAAGGCTCTTCTGCAGGAGGCTGCCTCCTGGTTCACTGAACCTGGGAAGTGAGAGGGCTTTAACCAGGAGATTAAAATGGAGCCTGAAGGGAATCAGGCAAGGAAATGACCTCAGGATTGGGAGATCTTTGAATTAGCATGTGGTGGGTTCTGACATTATTCTTCTATAAGACCATGTGAGTTTCCATGGTGGCTATCAATAAAACTCCTTAGGAAAACTAGGACTTTGCATTTGCTTCTGGGATTATAGAGGGAAGAAAGGCCAAAACTGTGGGCCATCCATGTGCCTGGGCTGGAGTAGGTTCATGCTGTCTAGGAGGTATAGAGCAGGGGCAGTGATGTGAAGGAGCTGGGCTACCATAGGAGTCCTGAAATAAGAACTTCTAGACCAGCGTTGTGTCTCACACTTGTAATCCCAGCACTTTGGCATTACAACTTGAGGCTAGAAGTTGAAGACAACCCTGGTCAAAATGCTGAAACCCCGTCTCCACTAAAAATACAAATATATTAGCCAGGCATGGTGGCGCATGCCTGTAATCCCAGCTACTTGGGAGGCTGAGGCTTGAGAATCCCTTGAACTCAGGGGGTGGAGGTTGCAGTGAGCTAAGCTGAGATTGTGCTACCGTACCCATGCCTCGGAGACAGAGTAATACTGTTTTTTTAAGAAAAGAACTTCTGACTCACAGGAATGGCTTGAAATAGTGGCTACTGTGGTTGCACCATAGGAAGAGTGGGGACAGGTGACAAGGGAGACTCAGTCCTCAGAGTGGACAGAGTCAGGATAGGAGGGCTGGGGATAGTGGGTAGCTGGTGTGTGTGTATGTATATGGTGTACTAGCATGGGGGTGGGGTGAGAGGGTGCAGATGGAGGATAACCGGGGATGAGAAACTCCCACACCAAGATTTTGGGTGTCCAGGAGCCTGCCTGAGGCCCACTGCGTATCTCCCCTCCCTTCTCCTGTGGTCTTTATTCCTCCTCATTTTGCACCTTTCATTTCTCCCTAGTCACTTCTCATACATCTCTTTCACTCACCCCTGTTCTCCCATCCCATTAACTAATCCCTACACCTAGGAGACTTGTGATATAGCTTAAATGCAATCAAGATAACCAGAGTGTATCCTCCGCCCTAAAAAAGTTATAGTCCAAGCTTTCTTCAAGAAAGGCTGTATTCTGAGGAGAAGTAGGTGCCTGCCTGCAGTTTAAGAAATAGTGAGTTGGTGTTAACCCCGGACATTGGGAAGGGAGAATATTTAGGACCAGGGATCAGTGCCCGAAGGTTTCCCAAAGCCTGACAACCTGCAAACGTTTGGATTCCCTGAGCAATCTTTTGATGACTAACTCCAGTGCAGAGTGTCGGGGAGGGGGCTCCCCGTCTTCAGTGGTTTTGGGATGGGTCGTGAGTGGTACAAAGCAAGTGATCCCTCCAGGGTGTGACTAGGGATGAGCTCGCCTTCAGTCCCAGACGTCGCGACTGTTGGCAGTGGATCGATTCACAACAGCCTGGCGTAGCTTCAATTTCGGCTCCGGAATCACCCTTCTCTGTGTCATACCTGAGGCTGGAGAGGACCGCGAGGCGCCGGATCGCTGGGCCGGCCGGGCGGGCAGGGCATACCCAGTGCGCATGCGCACAACCCCGGCCCGGAAACAGAGCAGGGTCAGCCATGGCGGCAGCAGCGGAGGGCGTCTTGGCGACCCGGCGTGAGGAGCCCGCTCGAGGTACCCGGAATGGAAGTGGAGGAAGCGTCTGGTGGGGGACCCGGGGGTCCGTCTCGGGAGGGCGGGGTTGAGTTCACCTGGCAGGAACGGGCTGGTGGGAGGAGTGCACCTGTCTTTTGCGCGCGAGTGTTTGTCTTGTCAGGGCGACTGGTTTGGCGCGGGTGCCGGGTCTGGACGAGGGCGGTGTGAGGGAGCTGAGTTGGTGTGTCAGGTGGTCAGGGACACAGTGAAGGACTTGAAATTACGGCAGTTGGAGAATGGAGCCGACTTGATGGAATGAAGGCTGGTGGAGGGATGCCGGAACAGGCTGCTTTGGCTGGATTAGCTCCGGGTGTTAGGCGGGACACTTAGTCATTCTCCCTCGGCCCAGACGATGCCGCCGTGGAGACAGCTGAGGAAGCAAAGGAGCCTGCTGAAGCTGACATCACTGAGCTCTGCCGGGACATGTTCTCCAAAATGGCCACTTACCTGACTGGGGAACTGACGGGTGAGGCGGGATCTGGGTTGATTGGGGTGCGGTTAGCCTCGGGTGGCCTGGGAGATGGATAGCAGCATCAGTCTGCAGCTCCCTTCCCACCCTGCATGCCCTGAGACAGGCCTGTTGGAAGTTTGGGGAGGTCATGAATGGGAGAGAAAGAGAATACAACTCTGCAGGCCTCTGTAAAGTAGACTAAGGAGAAAACAATAAAAAAGGATTGATATCCAGCAACATTAATCAAGACGTGCTTCCTTGGGGAAAGTGTATTTTGAGCAGGGTTGTGAAGGGAATTATTGGTGGAGAAGGGGGAGATGATACAACTAGTGAATGAGGTTGAATGTGCAAGCAGTGTGTTTGGCTAAAGCAGAAGACATGTTTACTAGGATAAAGAAAAATGAAATTGAGGAACAGGGAGTGACCTGCAGATTCAGGGACCTATTAGGTTGTTCTGAGGATTTCACAACCCACCCTTTGGGACATGACTAGGTTTTGATCGTTTTTTTTCAGGTGGTCACATGACCTATGTGTGGAGGAGGATCAGAAAGTGAAATCTGGGCCAGGCACCTGGCTCACGTCTATAATCCCAGCATTTGGGAGGCTGAGGCAGTGGATCACTTGAGGTCAGAAATTCCAGACCAGCCTAGGCAACATGGCAAAACACTGTCTCCACTAAAAATACAAAAATTAGGCTGGCGTGGTGGTGAGTACCTGTAATCCCAGCTACTGGGGTGGCTGAGGCAGGAGAATCACTTAGCCCAGGAGGTAGAGTTTGCAGGTTGCAGTGAAGTGAGATCACACCACTGCACTCCAGCCTGGGTGATAGAGTGAGACTCTGTCTCAAAAAAGAAAGAAAGTGAAGTCTCGTCCAGTATAGCATCTCGTGTTTATTAAATTGTTTCACTTCCCCAGAAAATTACAGTAAGCTAAATTTGTGAACCAGAATCTTTGAGAAAAGGCTTGATGCAGACTAGGAGGGGTTGTGAATCTCTAACTAATTAATTAATTAATTAATTTTTTTAGAGATGGGTTTCACCTTGTTGACCAGATTGGTCTCAAACTCCTGACATCAGGTGACCCACCCACCTCGGCCTCCCAAAGTGCTGGGATTACAGGTGTGAGCCACTGTACCTGGCCTCTAATTTCTTTTCTTTTCTTTCTTTCTTTCCTTTTTTTTTTTTTTTTTTTGCTTTTTCTGTTTTTAAGAGACAGGGTCTTACTATGTTGCCTGAACTGTCTTGAACTCCTGAGCTCAAGTGATCCTTTTCCCAACTATTTTGGTTGATGGCACTACCCAGGCTTAAAACCCCAGATACATCTTGGTCTGCTTCTATCCCTCAATATCTATTCGAACAAGTCCTATAAATTCCACTTCTCTAATGTTCTTGCACCCATGCTCTCCTTTCCATTCCTTTTACTGCCACTCTGCCTCAGATTTTTATTACTTTTCTTTTACACACACACACACACACACACACACACACATATATATGATATTATTTTATTTTTTTTAAATACGGATGGGAATGGTGGCTCATGCCTGTAATCCCAGCAATTTGGGAGGCTGAGGTGGGTGGATCACCTGAGGTCAGGAGTTCCAGACCAGCCTGGTCAACAGAATGAAACCCCATCTCTACTAAAAATACAAAAATTAGCCAGGTGTGGTGGCACATGCCTGTAATCCCAGCTGTTCAGGAGGCTGACACAGAAGAATTGCTTGAACCTGGGAAATGGAGGTTATAATGAGCTGTGATCGTGCCATTGCACTCCAGCCTGGGTGACAGAGGGAGACTCTGTCCTAAATGAATGAATGAATGAGAGAAGGAACTACTGGCCTCAAGTGTTCCTCCTGCCTCCCAAAGTGCTGGGATTACAGGTGTGAGCCACTGCACCCAGCTGTGACTCTCTAATTTATCAGCCTGATTATTTGTTTGTTTATTTTTGAGCAAGAGAAACCAAGTAACAAAATTTAGATTTTTGGCTTCTCTTTAATTCCAAAGATTTGGGGCTGCTACCCACCCCCCTCACCCCCCAATTCTTTCAAGGTTGTAATTGACTAGAGCTGAGTAGCTGCCTCTTTTAAAAGGACTGGTGATATCTAATTTGTCCTTACCACTTCCTGTTTTCTCCTCTTTACTGAGACCTAGTGTCGGATGCCATTGCTCACTATTCTCTACTGTTATTTTTATTAGTAGCAGTAGAGAAATGGTTTTCTGTACCAACGCCTCTATCAAAACTGGTAAATGATGGGCTAAGAGGACCGCATATTCCAAAAAGTAGGGGGAAGCATATTTCTTCATGGAAGTGGATAATTTTCTTGTCCATTTACTGCGCAAACACTTGGCTCACTTTACGCATTTATATTATGTTGCTGGCTTCTAGGTGTTTGAATACATGACCCTTGTTTTATTTTATTTTATTGACAGAATTTTCGTTCTTGTTGCCCAGGCTAGAATGCAGTGGCACAATCTCAGCTCATTGCAATCTCCACCTGTTAGGTTCGAGCAATTCTGCCTCAGCCTCCCGAGTAGCTGGGATTACAGGCACATGCCACCACGCTTGGCTAATTTTTTTGTATTTTTAGTAGAGATGGGGTTTTGCCATGTTGGCAAGGCTGGTCTCAAACTCCTGACCTCAAGTGATCCACCCACCTTGGCCTCCTAAAGTGCTGGGATTACAGGCCACAATGCCTAGCCATGACACTTTTTTTTAGAGAGACTAATTTGATAGCAGTATAAATATGAGAGTACAGATATGAGGGAGAGAGACCAGAGACAGATGAGCA